TGTCTCCTTCCTGTTTAACCTTAGAAAGAAACGCAAGCTCTCTTCTCAGGACTGCCGACGTAGGTCCAGGGATGGGGTCCTGCCTGACCCGCTAGCTTCTCATTCCCTGTCCTTGGGCCTCACAGCACCCTCCTTCAGCGCACAACACTCTTCCCTAGCTGGCTACCATGTCTCATAACTCATAACTCAAATGCCACCTCAAAAAGCCATCCATGGCCACGCAGTTAAGCATTCAGGAACCATGATACCCAATGTTTGTCAGACACCCAGACAAAAAACAGACACAAAAGTATGGTAATTGGTCTGAATGAGCCAAGAATCTCTTGGAGAAGCCAGAACTGTCAGAATACGCTGCACTCTGGTAGTATAAGCTATGAAAAGGGTTGAGAAGGAGGTGAGAAGGGGTTGGCACGCAGCAGAAAATGCTAAGTAGTTAACAATGGCTTCAGAAAGAAACCATAGCAGCAGTGGCAATGAACTGGATTGCTTTGAGTGTTTTACATTCAGGTGAATTCTGAAGATTTTGCTACAAACACAGTGTTGGCAGATATTAAACAGTTCAAGGCAGTTTTATGGGTAGACATTAAATACTTTAAGGAAAGATTTAGAATTTTGCTTTTTTTAAAAAGATGTATTTATTTATTTAATGTATATTAGGCTTTGCCTGCATGCATGTCTGTGTGAGGGTGTCAGATCCCCTGGAACTGAAGTTACAGACAGTTGTGAACTGCCATGTGGATGCTGGGAATTGAGCTTGGGTCCTTTGGAAGAACAGTCAGTGTTTTTAACCTCTGAGCCAGCTCTCTAGCCCTAGAATTCCACTTTTAAAAAGATTTATTTTATTTCTAATCACATGTTATATGTATTTGTACATATGTGCCTCTGAGTAGAATTGTCCTCAGAATCCAGAGAGGGCATCCGGTCCTGGCTATAGGCAGTTGCGAACTCCTTGACATGCATGCCAGGAACTGAACTCAGGTCCTCTGTAAGATCGTTAACTACTGAGCCATCTCTCCAACCTCTGGAATTCCGTTGTTAAAGAGAGAGTGTGTGTGTGTGTGTGTGGTGCTCTAAACCTGGAATCAAGATGCCGGGGAGAGGCTGTGGGGATAGTTCAGCTGGCAAGCGCAAGGACCTAAGTTTGATCCCCTGGGACCCATTAAAAAAAAAAAAAAAGTCAGGAGCGGTAGTGTGCCATTCTAAGGTCAGCACTGGGGAGGTAGAGACAGGAGGATGCCTGGGGCTCACTGGCTAGTCAGCCTCACGGAAATGGCAAATTCCAGGTCAGTGAGAGACCGTCACAAAAAAGAGCAAGGTGGACAGCATTCAAAGAATGGCACCTGAGGTTGTCCCGAGACCTCCAATACATTTGCATGCCTGTGCAGACACACTTGTTAGCACACATGCACCCTACCACACACACGGATATGTTCCACGCACCCACGCATAGCTGTAGTATCAACTTCGGTACTGGAGTCATCTAGGACAAACTTCATCACTAAGCGCTCAGGAAGTGCATGGGGTTTGGAGGGAGATTCACCAGCTGATATCCAACTAGCTTCCTTCAGGAGCTATATGAGATAATGCGTGTGGTGAGGGTCCTAAACCAGACACACGCTGCGTCCTCCTGCATCACTGGGGGCAGACACAGCGTTCTAGAAACTTCCTAAGTCCTGTTTCCTGAGTCATCTCCAGGTACAGCTGCCATGTGGGAAGAAGCGTCACCAAATGGCTTAGTAACTTCTTAGGAAATGAAACTTTGGAAGAGGGTCAAGCAAGAAACGGGAAAGAAAGGAGACAGGAAAACAGGATTTAAAAATGCATTCCCATAGTGTGTGTGTGTGTGTGTGTGTGTGTGCGTGTGTGTATCTGTGTGAATGTGGGGCAGAGGACAGTTTTGTGGAGTTGTTTCTTTCTTTCCACCTTTAACTGAGTTTCAAGGGTTGAGCCCAGGTCACTTGAGTAACAAGCAAGTGCCTTTACCCTCCCTGCCTTCTCACTAGCTCTAGGATTTTTTTTTCTTGTTTCTAAACCCAAAGAAACCCCATTCTCCCCAGGAATAATTTAAAAATCAAACACTACACATCTCAGCCCTCTTCTTCTGTACAATGTGAGAGTCACTGTAGGAGATGAACCACACACACTCTTGCCTGGATAAGAAGATGGTGGCTGTAGGAGATGAACCACACACACTCTTGCCTGGATAAGAAGATGGTGGCTGTTCCACACTGAAGATCAAAGTATTAGTCTCAGAAGGCAAACCGAAGTCAGACTTTGCAAAACCAAACAAATTTCAATCAACTGTTTCGAGACCATGATGTACCAGAAGAAAAATTAAACACAAAACCAAAATTGAAAACAAAGCTGTAGGTATGTGAGCTGTAGAGACGTGAGCTGTAGGTGTGTGAGCTGTAGGGGTGTGAGCTGTACAGGTGTGAGCTGTTGGGGTGTGAGCTGTACAGGTGTGAGCTGTATGGGTGTGAGCTGTACAGGTGTGAGCTGTATGGGTGTGAGCTGTAGCGGTGTGAGCTCTCCCTTTCAGTCACTCACCGGGAGACAGGGGAACAGCTCTGGGATGGCCAGGCCTTCACCCAGCTGCACAGCCAGGCTATACACATGAGTGAAGAGTGGACGAAATGGCCTTAACAGGTCTCCAGCAAATCAACAGTAACTTGCTGAACTTGGGTGATGCCAAGAAAGTTTAAAACAAGCTCTCCCCTTCCCCCAATTTTTTCGGTTTACTGTTGCTACTGCATTAGAACATTCTACCTTAGTTTATGGTACTGTAGATTATGTAGTTGAAGTGTTAATCAGACCTTTGGAAATGACTTGGTTTAGCTAAATTTAATCAATATGATAAAAGTTAATATAGATCTGTCTATTGCTTCCTCATTACCCCTTCCTCTGCCTTTAAGTCTTATGTGAAGTTTGAATTTTCTGACTCCTGCTGCATTTTAGAGGTTGAGTTGTCTGACTTGGAATTTAATGATATACTGTTCATTAAGGCAAACATATTAGAATCAAAGCTTCTTTTTTATGGTTTGTTAAATATACTTAACACTAGTGAACATTATAATGGCTAAGATATAAATGTGATATATATAAATACATAAATATTTTATGTAATTTAACTGTACAATTAATATATATTATATATTATGTGTATATATGTTATATACATATAATTTATGGGTCTGTTCACCAAGATCCACGGAATAAAGCAATTCCTTGTACTTTCAATTTTATTATGCCTTTAGTTCAATCAAATAGAGTTGTTTGTACTTCACTATTTTGTTATGATTTTAGTTCAGTTCAAATAGAGACGTCTGGCATGAATCCGTCCTGTAATCTGACTCTACAGAGTTATGAGACGGCTTAGAACACACTGATCTATCGCAGGCACACCTTCCTCCCAGAGACAACAAAACTAAATTCCGTACAAGCACCAAGGTAGGCAGAGAATCATCTTCTCTTTCCCTCTGAAACAGGGTCTCACTATGCTTCTGAGGCTGGGTTCAAACTTCTAATGCAGCTGAAGCTGAAGTAAGTTCAACTTACTGTCGTCCTGTCGTAGCCTGTCAAGTGCCGGGATCATGAATATGCACTATGATGCTCAGCTGGATAGAGAATTTTAGAAACAATCTAATACCTCTGAAACAAATTCGACATCTTCAGTAGATGCCAGGACTGAAGATGTAAGTCTGTTGGTAGAGTCCTTGCCTAGCATGTATGAAGCCTGGGTTCAGTCTCCAGCACCACAGAAGCTGATGGTGATGCATGCCTGTGACCCTAGCAGCCCAGGAGCAGAAGGACGAGGAGTCCTCAGGAGCAAGTCAATTTTCAGCTTCATCTTGAGTTCAAGGCCAGCCTAGGCTATATGAAACCCTGTCTCAAAGGGTGGGGGGGAAGGGGGTGTTTGCTTTTTACAATTAATTTAGCTTATCATTATGTGATCAGTTTAGGAACTAAAGTTTGAAACGGAATAAAAGAAAGCACAATTTTATTTTGATTTTTGCAAAACAATTTCATATTATATTCTGATCCCACTTTCCCTTCCCCTCAAATCCTCCCAGACTCGTTCCACCTCCCCAACTCCATGTCCTTTCACCCTACAGTCAAACAAACAAAAAATAAGAAACACACATACACACCAAACCCCGCAAAAACACAAAAAATGGAAATAAAAATATACAAGCGAAAGACCAATAAGACAAAAAAAAAACTCAAACAAAACAATATGAGATAAAAAGTCTATAAAACCACCATTGACTTCCCGTTCTGTTAGCCAAGCACTCCTGGGCATGGGACGTTCTTTGACATGCGGTTAATACACTACGTAGTGAGAATCCATCGGAGGGAACCAACGTTCCCTTTGCCAGTAGGAATCAATTGCAGATAGCTTCTTGGTCAGTGGTGGGAGCCCATGTCCATCTCCCCCTCTCAGCTCTGGAACCTTGTCTGGCTTGAACCTGTGCAAGCCTTGAGCTCATATGTACATCAGGCCTGCTTTATCTTGAAGACAGTTTCCTTGGAGTCACCCATCCCTTTTGGTTCTGCCACTCTTTTGGCTTCTTGTTCTGTATTGATCTCCAAGCCTTGAGGGAAGGGGTTTGATGAAGACATCCTACATAAAACTAAGTACTCCAAAATCTCTCAGTCTCTGCACATTGCCCAACTGTGGGTCTCTGCGTTAGGTCCCTTTTACTATAAGAAGAAGCCTCTTGGACAACGGCTGAACGAGGCACCGATATATAAGTAGAATTCCTAATTATTCATGTATTAAACAGAAAGTATAATTCTGGAGATGTGTTTTTGAAGTGGGGGAAAAACCGATCTGTGGGAAGCAATTCAAAGCTAATTGAAGCCAGTCTGTTCTTAGCTTATTTAAATGCCCTGGGGAGAAATACAGCACTGGTTCTAAAGAAATAATGGCAGGGGCTAAGAGGCGTTAATGGATTGTGCAACTCAGTGAGGCTTAGCCTGAGTCACTCATTAGGAAACGTCAAGCCGCCACATCCTTTCCCTGCAGAGGCAGGGCAAGTTCCTGCCCACATAGTGTAGGCTGGACGATTCTCAGGCTCCCACTTGCTGCTAATACATGGATCAGAGGGAAATCTGCTCTGTGACTTTGCACACTTGACAACGTTCCATAATCGGGTTTCAGGACATGGAAGTTAAGGTCCTTATCTTGATTACTGCCTGGCTGCTGCTCCTGCCGGCCACTTTCTGCCAGAGTGGTAAGTCCTCTTCTGGAATAGGACGGGGTGGGAACGGGGACCATTTGTGCTGTGGGGGTCAAATGAACCTACTCTTCTTGTTGCCTCCCAAGAATTGTGAACCCAAAGGCAGAGCTCGATCTGGGCTATTACTAGGAGGAATAACTGAGGTAGCTCAAGTTTGTTGCCAAGTCACCTTGTTAAAGACCAACTGTTCTCTATTAGCAGTTACACATTTGTGGCAGAGTTAAGACTGTATCTGCAATTAAGTCAAAAAGCATCTTTCTTTGTGAGAAGTGTTTGCATTTATGAAATTTCCTGATTTCGAAAAGATTGTATTTTTTCAAGGGATTATAAATCCTTTTACATTTATAAATTTTATAAGTTCTGTTGAGGCACAGGTGGGGAAAAATATTGTCACAAAGTGTCATTTGGTTTCAACAGTCAGGAAGGTTAACAATGTTTCTAAAGTAAATACCTTTTTTTTCCCTTAAGGTTTTAGTATCAGGGAGTTCTCTCTCCCCTCTCTTTCTCACACACAGGCACACGTGTGTGTGTGTGTGTGTGTGTTTGTACACAAATGTATATATGTATATGCTATGATTATGCTTAATTTAGCTATGGATAATTTTAGAAATACAATCTCCCCAAAATAATTATTTTGCCTTGAACATGTCTATTTTACCCATCATTCCTGCTTGCTCTGAAATGAACTACTTTGAGACAGGATTGCATCCAGAACTCTCTCTCACTGTCAGGTCACAGGGCCATCAGCAGTGTTAGGAGGGGGATGTAGAATGAAACCAAAATTAAACAGAAGACAAACCTCTGCAAAGCTGAGATCCCCTGCAGAGTGCTTAAGGGAAACTACGGCAGGGGCTGAATAAGCAGGATTTGGAGAGGTTTATGGTTCCTTTGAGAGGATAAGCCAAAATGCTGAGCCACAGTTGCAAGGAAATGCGTTACATGAGAGGGTTCCTTCCTGATGCCAGTAGAGCTTGGGAGAACTTGGAAGGAGACTTGGGGGTGGATTCATTCACCTCCTGCTATGGGGAGACGTGATGGGAAAATATGTCATCAGGAAGCAGAGGGCCGTTCTCTCTGGATTAGACTCTGAAGCCTTCTCCCAAGTGGAGAGCATTTCAGAAACATCACACCAAACAAAACCCAAAGAACCCTAGTCATTTTTTTTATATGAATAATATTTAACAAGAAACACTAGTTTTTTAGGTTCGGACTCACGGAAGGCATAGATGGGGGTGGGGGCAACACCTGAGACCTCCTGGAAACAGTATGTAGATACTGGGTCATGGAAACAGTATGTAAATACTGGGTCTTGCTCAATCACAGACAGGATTCATCTGAAAACTAACCAACAAGTGGTTTCATCAGGTTTCTCACCAGACCTTGGAGGGAAGAAATGTGTACACACCGTTCTGCTCAACGTGCTAAAGCACTTGTTTTGAGGGATATCTTGACTTTTCCCAAAGGCAACGTGCAGAAGGGTTTGAGTGACTGAGTTCAAACATCACAGGACGTTCCTCCAAGGCTCCATCTTAGCACAGATACACAGAACGCTATCTTCCAAATGATTCCTTCCTTAAACGACCCCGGGTCACCTTCACAGAGCAGTTGCTCAGACAACACTGACCCCACCTGATACACTGAATTCAGCCTGTGCAGACTCCGCGGTATGGAGGAGTTTACACCTGGGAGCAAAGGCCAGAGGTTAAATCAGGTCTGGCTTCGAACGAGGACAGACCACCGAACACCATCCTCAAATGTTTAAAAATGTTAAAATGAGGTCTGTGCCAGGACCTCAGTGGTAGGGAAGTCGCTTCTCAGGTTGGAATGTATGAGGTTTAAATTGGTTTTCGAGGAACTGATTATTAACATGAACAAGCTGAGTCATGCCAAGTATCTACCGCACATAGTTGGTATGTTTCTTCCATTTTAAAAATCCATTTTTAACTCCTTAGGTCATCACAGTAATTTCATCTTTTGATTTTTCTGCCTTCTCTTAAAACCTGGTATTTCTCCTGAAGCCCATCTTTGCATTCCTTCTTCCCGTACCTCTCCCTAGGCCACTTCCCCACTCTCCTAATTTAACCACAGACCCTGTGACTAAGGCATGCACACCCCATATTTGCTCTTGGCCTTTGGGAATGCCACATCCAGTGTTGGAACTGCTTGCCCAACATTTTACAGACTAACATTCCACCAGCTGTCCCAGCTCGGTCATACCACAGCCTGAGATTTAGCTAGGCGTGGTTATAGTGAGACCCTGTCTCAACAAGCCGAACACACAACCCTCCTATAAACCCGGGTCCTGAATTCCTTTCCCACTTTATCCCCTCACTCTGGCCTGCTCGCAGTTATAAACAGCGCCCTCTTCCTCCAAGTCATTCGGAATGGAAACCTCCAGTTATGTTGCTTGCAGGTGCCCCTCTAGAGCCAATCAGATGAGATGGCCCTGAGTCCAGCGTAACAACGAGTTCCTGTTTACGGTCTTGCCTCTACTTCAATGACTCACCACCCTTAGATTCTGAACAATTTGGTCAGCAGTCTGCACATCAGGTCCCCCTGCCCTGAATTTCTTACCATCATAACCTTCTGCCACCAAACCCACTTTTAAACACCTGTGCAGGCTATAATAAATGTTCTTGTAGATGACACAGGCTGACCATCTGATGCCTCTGGAGGTCAAAATTCCTAAAATCAAGGTGTTGCTAGGGTTGTGTTCACTCTAGATGCTCCAGGAGAGAATCTGTGTTCTTGCCTGAGACACTGCCCGTGCTCCTTGGCTCCTGGATTCTTTCCCAACCTCAAAGCCAATAACATCACCTCAAGCCCGACTCTGATCCTGTTGCCTCACATGTATAAGCACTTGTAGCATTGCATTTAGATCACATGGCCAATCTAGGGTTCTGTCCCATCTCCTGATACCTAACTAACCCCTTCTCCATGTGAGGAAGCATCTCCTAGGTTCCGCGGGATAGCAGGTGGGATCAGGGGTGAGTGGAATGCTATTCTATATCCCACAAGAGTCATCCCTCTGCAGACTCTGCATGCAGAGAGTGGAGGTGTGGGTCAGTGGTAGAGCAGCTGCCTAGCATTGAGAAGCCCTGTGTTCGATTGCCAACAAAAAACGGAAAAGACTTTGTGTGCAACCCTGGAATGTACGAATAGATCATGGCTTCAGAGGACAGTTTAGGGTCCCCTCGGGAATTAATTGTGAGACTTTTTCAACTTCATCTCTTAGATGTATCAAATTAACACAAGACAGAGCATGCTCACACACTTCTCCTCTGGTCTCGGTATTGTTCGTCAACGGCAGCGGAGTTTATAACTTCATAGCACTGTTATGTATGCAACTGACATTGTCCGAATCAAACGGACTGGCCATTCCCAGATCCCATGCCCAGCCATCACCGTGAGAACACACCTCATGTAGCAAGTTCCACCTCTGCAGCTTGCTTACCTTAAGTCTTTGCTCAAGCCTTACCTTTTCAGTGAGAGTTTGCTTGAATACTCATTGGTAACTATCTCCTGATAGCTTGTGGGCAATAAAACATTTTTTTCTATAATATCCCATTGTGCTGTTTTGTCTCATCTATGACAGTGGTCCTCAACCTTTCTAGTGCTGCGACCCTTTAATACAGTTTGTGTTGTGGTGACTCCAACCATAAAATTATTTCATTGCGACTTCAAAACTGCAGTTTTGCTACCGCTATAAATTGCAAAGGAAATATTTTTGGAGATGGAGTTTTACCAAAGGGGTCACGACCCAGACTGAGAACCACTGGAGCGCTATTCTAAAGTCCTGACTGATATCTAGTTCTCACAGGAAAGCACAGCATGTGGCATATTATACTTATTATATACATGCCTGTGGGTTACATCATCTATAGAGATTTCTAAAACATGACCCCAGGTTCTATAACTACAGAAATCATGAAGCATCCAACATTTCATTTTTATCCAAACCACAGTTAGGATATATGTAATATGTAATAATCATATGTAATATTTTCTTTCAATTGCAGGTATGAAAAACATCCCAGAGAACTCAGCCAATCCAACCTTAACTATTAAGACCTTTAATGGAGAGCCCCCAAATACCTATGAAGACTTCCCGCTTTCTGACATAGAGGGATGGACCGGAGCCACCGCAACTGTAAAACTGAGATGCCCCGAGGGGAGTACTTCAACTCTCCGTGTGAACAATGCTACCATCGGATACCTGAGAAGCTCCCTAAGTACCAAACTGATACCCGCCATCTACATTCTGGTGTTTGTGGTTGGTGTGCCAGCGAACATTGTGACCCTGTGGAAACTCTCCTCAAGGACCAAATCCATCTGTCTGGTCATCTTCCACACGAACCTGGCCATCGCAGACCTCCTTTTCTGTGTCACGCTGCCGTTTAAGGTCGCCTACCATCTCAACGGGAACAACTGGGTATTCGGAGAGGCCATGTGCCGGATCACCACGGTCATCTTCTACGGCAACATGTACTGCTCCATCCTGATCCTCACCTGCATGGGCATCAACCGCTACCTGGCCACTGTCCATCCTTTCATGTACCGGAAGCTGCCCAAACGCAACTTCACTTTGCTCATGTGTGGCCTGGCGTGGGTGATGGTTTTCTTATACATGCTGCCCTTTGCCATCCTGAAGCAGGAGTACCATCTTGTCCAGCCAGAGGTCACCACCTGCCACGATGTCCACAACACCTGCGAGTCCCCGTCTCCCTTCCAGTTCTATTACTTCATCGCCTTAGCGTTTTTCGGATTCCTCGTCCCCTTTGTGATCATTGTCTACTGCTACACAACTCTCATCCGCAAACTGAACGCCCAGGACCGCAGATGGCTGAGGTATATCAAGGCGGTTCTCCTCATCCTTGTGATTTTTACAATTTGCTTTGCTCCTACCAACATTATACTCATAGTCCACCACGCCAACTACTATTATAACCACACGGATAGCTTGTACTTTATGTATCTCATAGCTCTGTGCCTGGGTAGCCTGAACAGCTGCTTAGATCCATTCCTTTACTTTGTCATGTCAAACATTGTAGACCAGCTTACTTCTTAGCCAACAAGGGCAAGATCATCTTAGAGAAAATACACACGCTTGGGCTGACTTGCGCATGGCACTAACAGCTCAATTTTTTATTTTTGTTTTTAATTTTTTTTTTAAAAGACAGGGTCTCACTGTGTAGTCCTGGCTAGCCCAGAACTCTCTAGACTAGGCTGACCTCAAAAGACCTGAGCTCTGCCTGCCTCTGCCTCTTGAGTGCTGGGATCAAGGGCATACAAAACCAGGCCTGGCAAGAGTTCCATTTCAACGCTCCTATGAAATTGTGCTTCAAACATCAAATGTCGTAAAATTATTAGGATTAAAAATAGTTTGCCAATATTTTAAGAATGCCTTAATCTTAAGCAAAACTATCATTATTCTCCTTATGACAACGGACACATTTCTATTTGCCTTCCTTATTCTCCAAGCTTTAAATTCTCCCTTTCCTCCAGTGAGTGGCACTGTCATCCTGGGGATTTAGCATTACTTGTGGTTCTTGGAGCAGTTACCCTGTCCCTCGCTGGGGCCTTGCCTTCATCCCACCCCTGTCTTACACGGCTGTCCTCACCGCTGGCCAAGCCTTCACTTCGCCTTCTCTGAGTATCCTGAATACATCAGGCAAACACTTCCCTTGACCCCGCACGGCTCCTCAAGTGACAAACCCGAGGGTGGCTTTCCTGGCCAGTTCCCTAACGTGGCCTGTGAAGTCATACACCAGGCCTGCTCACTTCACCTCCCGTCCTTCCTTCCCTTTCCCGCTGCCCCGTGAAAGCCCATTCTAGCATCTCTGCTTTAATCTGTTCAGCTTTCCACGTCTTTAAAGGACCGTTCTTCCTTTACTCTCAAACTAGAAGCGTCATTTTCTTCATCTGGATTTCTAAAGCACTTTCTTATAATTATGGCCCTTCTATACACACAAGCCTGCTAAGCTCATTTGCATATGACTATTAGTTCCATAAGCAATTAAGTTTTCTCTATCATAAATCTCTGTACATACAAGTGTCCCACCTACAGATTCAAACAACCACAGACCAAAAACCCTTGTATGAAAAGAGTTCTATGAGCTGAACATGAACGGACTTTTCCTTATTCCCTACACAACACAGCGTCTTTGGGCAGCCTTTATCCTGCATCATTCTTTATACAGCATCTCCACTGGATTAAGCGTTGCTAACGTCATCCAGAAGTGATGTGAAATGAACGAGAGGGTAGGGAGAGGCTGTAGCCAAGTACAGTACCATTGCTGCAGGGATTCGGAATCTGCAGGGGTCCTGGAAGCCACCTGGGAGGGATGATGGAGAAGGTGGTGTCTGTCCTCCCCACTTTGAGGTTCCTGTGGTCATTCTAGGGTCATGCCCTGTGGGGTCAGCTTCATCCTTTGTATAGCATGTGGCTGAATGACAGAATAAAACCCAATGCATCTAAGCCGCACAGAGGTCTACTCAGTGCAAACTGAAAAGCCAGTATATCCCATATGACAAGAGATGACATCATAAGGAAGTTAAACAGTAATACCCTCATAAAGTCATTTAGCAATTTATTTGTTTTTTGAGACAGGTTTTCTCTGTGGAGCTTTGGCTCCTGTCCTGGAACTAGCTCTTGTAGACCAGGCTGGCCTCGAACTCACAGAGATCCGACTGCCTCTGGCTCATGAGTGCTGGGATTAAAGGCCTGTGCTACCACACCACCCGGCCATTTAGCAATTTAAATAATGTCTCCAGCTACTTCCATCCCCCTTTGTTTTAATGGGAAATGGTATTATATTTTAAATCTCCAGATTATTCCTGTAGATAAGCCATTTCCCTTACCCGAGGGAACGAATGGGAGAAGTGATATCAGTGGCTAATGGGGGAGCATCACTAGTGACTAAAAATGGACTTGAGGGAACCTCTGAGTATGCAGCATTGCTGGGCTGAAGCTGTAAGTCTTGTTATAATCCACGGAATAATAAAAATACATTTTAAGCGAACATTGTCGAGAGTATCTATAGCTTCTTGTTTCATCAAACTTGGGCATGCATTTACCCGAAGGCCTCCAGGTCCATACCTCCCAGGGACACTTGCCTGCCCATGTTTCCTACACCACCATTCACGTCAGCTAAATAAAGAACCTGGCAGGAGCCCAGGAACAGAGGAGTGGTTAAGGCAAGTTCTGGAGAAAGCTTCCCTTCCTAGCGAGCATTTTTAGCCTTTAAGGAGGAAGCCATGCCATTTGCAGGAAAATGAGAACATCTGGAGATCATCATATTAAGCAAATTAGGCCATCTCAGAATATACAGAAAAAAATATATTTCTCTCTCTCTCTCTCACCCTTTGTGGGGCCGAGATTCTATACAAAGAAGCAAAGTCGTGTATATGTGCAGGTATAAAATGACAGGGGTGGACTGTCTAAGGAGGACAAAGGGGAAGGGGAGGGTCAGAGCTGAGAGGCATGAGGGGGAATATGCTCAACGAACAATAGATACTTGTACAAAAGCATTATATTAAAAGACTTTATAAGGTTACAAGACAGCTCAGTGGGTGACACTTGCTACCAAAATGTGACACGCGTGATCTCCTTAACCCGCCCTGTGCAAGAAGAGAACTGAAACCTGCAAGTTACCCCCTGACCTCTACTGGAAGTCTGTCACTCACACACAAATAAAAGACATAAATAAGTGTAACGAAGTAAAAGTCAGATAAACCTCAAAATAAGCAATTAAAATCGATCTAAAGCAAGCTTTAAGAGTCTAAAAACTTCAGTGAAAGGAATTCATTTTGAAAGCTGAGTCATTGACTGCAGTAGTTTGTCCCGCTGGAACAGGACAATATTTACTGGTCGAAAGCACACACAAATCCGGCATGGCGGCAGACATCTATAATCCCAGCACGTGGGAGGCAGGCACATGTGGATCTCTGTGAGCTGGAGGCCAGCCTGGTCTACAGAGTGAGTTCTACTTATATAGTAAGGCCCCGTCTCAAAAACACACGAAAACAAATCCAAACCAAACCAACCAACAAACCAAACAAGAAAACCAAAACCCAAACAACCAAGTATTAGGTTTCATACCCAGACAAACAGCTGAGGTGCCTACTTAATATATCAAAGTAGACCCGGCCTTCGGGTTCTCCCTACATCCTTCAGTCTCTACCTGATATGGGGGCTCTCCTGGCTGGCACACCCCACCCCCTACCCTAAATTCCCCCAGTTGCCCTTCCTTATATAATCTAACCATTTTGGTTATCTGTTCCTCTAGTCTACCCTCTTTGGGTCTCTTGGCTGCTGCACCTGGTTCCTCCCTCTCCTTTTCCCCTCCCCTCACATGGCACAGCTCAGTCTGGCCATGTTCACCCTGGACTTTCCCAGATGTCCCTGCTTCTGACTGTGCTCTCCTACATATGTGTAATAAACTTCCTCCTCCACCACACCTAGGGGTAGTCATGTCCTTCCATTCCTTCTTATTTTTTTTTATTCAAAAAGGGACACTTAATTTGTGTGTGTGTATGTGTGTGTGTATGTAACCATCAAAAACAAATCCAATTTTTTTTTTTGTTTTGTTTTTTTTCAAGACAGAGTTTCTCTGTAGCTCTGGAGTCTGTCCTGGAACTGGCTCTTTGTAGACCAGGCCGACCTCGAACTCACAGAGATCCGCCTGCCTCTGCCTCCCAAGTGCTGGGATTAAAGGCAGGCGCCACCATCACCTGGCTAACAAATCCAAACTTTAATGAGAGTAAAATTCAAGTGTCAAATAAAGCTTTCAACTTTTAAATTGCTCGTGATTCACTTTCTCCAGTGGTTAGACATAGAAAATGTGCTTTGCTAAGTATACGCTACCATGTTCATCACTCAGTCTCGACACAAAGAGAACCTGGTGCTTACACAGAATATCCAGAAACTTCCATAGCCACTCCCCTGTCCTCACTCTCTCTGATGAGCCTTAGTATCCATTCCATGAAGCTGCCGCTCACTATACCGCTTAATAGTTGTATGCTTTGGAACAATCTTTACTCCATACTGTAATGCAGCAATATCTTTTTATTCCTATTATTTCCCAAGGCTAGATTGCGGGAAGGCAATGCACAGAAATGCCATCAAGTATGTACACTGTAATTTTCTAGGAACCTAGTAGAGATTAAGAGAAAAAGCAAATGAAAACCAATACACAAAGACTCAGCTGAAGGAAATGAATCAGATTTCTTTTCCTTCTTTCCTTCTTTCCTTCTTTCCTTCTTTCCTTCCTTCCTTCCTTCCTTCCTTCCTTCCTTCCTTCCTTCCTTCCTTCCTTCCTTCCTT